CTCAACCCTCTTGGATGGACCTCTGAAGCGAACACACCCAGGGACAAAAAAAAAGGTTACGGATCGACTTACGATCACAACTGAGCCCCACAATTCGGCTGCACAGCAAGAGACAGCGGCTGCGTTGAGTTTGGGCCCATTTTACCACCGCAGTTGTCAAGTTAGTAACGCAGTTGTTAAGTGAATCTGGCTTCCCCCACTGACTTTGCTCGTCAGAAGGTCGCAAAAGGTGACGGCATGACCGTGGGGTCAATGCCACTGTCATAAATACGAGTCCGTTGCCATGCATCTGAATTTTGATCACGTGAACATGGGGGAGGGGGGTGCTGCAACAGTCGTTAAGTGTGAAAAACAATCTTAAGCCCTTTTTTTTTTCAGTGCTGTTGTAACTTCGAACGGTCACTAATCAAACTTCTGTAAGTCGAGGACTATCTTACGTTGTTTTTTTTAATGACTCAAATGAGCAGCATCTATGGCAGGGGTCTTCAAACTTGGCCCTTTTATGACTTGCGGACTTCAACTCCCAGAATTCCTCAGCCAGCGTACCTAGTTTGGGTAATGGAAAGTCTGCAAGAAAACATCTAAGCTCTGAGGCCATCAAAGATCCCTCATTTCAACCCTGAGCTACAAATATTCTCCTTTATTTTCCTCATGTAGATTTCCTGTGCTCATGACTTTTCTCATCTCTTTTTCCCCTCAGAACTGGACATTATTGGTGGATGGAAACAAAGGAAAAACGAAGGACCTTCTTTTGATTGCAATGGGATTTTTAACCTGGAAGGACTTCTGGGCCAAAAAATGGCGTGCAAAGTTTAAAGAGCAACGTGAGAAACAGAAAAACCATGTGATCCCCAAAGTGATCAGATGCTTGTAAGGAAGCTGTTGCCCTTCCCGCTACAAATCACCCATCCCCCCACTCCCTACTTGCACTGATGATGTTACGTAGTTTGGTAACGAAATGCCTTCAAGAAAACAGAGAACACCAACAACCCCACTAAGACAAGTGATGGGTACTGGTGTATACCCTAGAGCTGCATGGATTCAAATGCCAATCGCCTATCAGGCTCGCAATCACCTATCAGTGACTCCCCAAAAGCAGCAACATCTGTTTCCAAAATTGTGGCTCTCCCTTTTGCGGTTGCAACCAATCTCAGAAATGAGGAGGTGGTAAGCCGCCTGGGAAAGCCAAGGAAAATCATCAAAACAATTAAAAAACGAAAGTTAGAATATTTCGAACCTGTGATGCGACACACAGAAAAATACGGCATACTCCATTTAATCCTCCAGGGAAAGATTGAAGGCAAACGAGGTCCAGGCAGAAGAAGAACATTGTGGCTTCAAAATCTAAGGGATTGGTTTGGACAAAACTCAGCAGCACTTTTTCGTGCGGCTGCTGATAAAAACAGGATCGCCAACATGATCGCCAACGTCCGATAACGGATATGGCACAAGAAGGAGAAGCAGCCAACCTTTGGTTGGAGGAACTGCAGACACTTGGACATGGGCTGATTAATAGGCAGGAAGGAAAAACCAGAGTGAAGAAATGTCTATGGAGATTCTCAGTCATCCAGGTCATAGCTGTCCCTTTGAGAAACTCCATAGACCAATGGTGGTGAACCTATGGCACGGGTGCCAGAGGCGGCACTCGGAGCCCTCTCTGTGGGCACACATGCCGTTGCCCCAGCCTTGCCTTCGCCCGCGACCCCCTCACCAGCAGCCTCCCTGGAGAAGAGTCGCCCCGAGCGTGGCCCACGCGAAGCAGCGCAGCCAAGGACATGGCAGCCAGGCAGCGTAGACAAGACTCTGCCCTCACGCCCCAACGTGCACAGTTGATGCTGCAGGGCGTGGGCAGAGGGCGTGGCCGCCATGGCGCTGCTGGGCTGCCTGGGCGATCTGTGGCGGGCCCTGGAGGTGGTGAGTGGCCCTGCGGGCAGGCAGGGTGAGGCGGAGCGGGGCCAGTTTTTGGGCACTCGGTCTCTAAAAGGTTCGCCATCACTGCCATAGACCTTTAGCTATGCACTTGAGGATGAACACCCTTCGAATGGCGTGGGAGTATGAACGGATTTCCAGAAAACATTGCAGGCTACAGGAACCATTTGCGCTTCAGTCTGAGATTCTGACAACACAGACTCCTCCCCAACAGCCTGGGCGCCTGTCTTCAACCGTGAAGGGACCCAGGGCAGAAAACATCCTGCAGCCAAGAAGGCCCCACATCCATTTGCACCACTCAGGTGACCCTGAGGACACAGGTAAACCTCTAAGTGGCCTTGATGACTCTCTAAAACAGGGGTGTCAAACTGCCGGCCTGGATGCATCACGCGGAAGCTGTGCCTGCCCCAGCTCCAGCAAGGGGGAAAAAGTCATGATACGTCGCGACACGTCACATGACACGACGGGTTTGACACCCCTGCTCTAAAAAGAAGGCAAGTGACCAGCTGTCTGCAAGGAATATTAAATCCTTCCATTGCCCCACCATCCGGTCAGAGCTGAAGAAGCTTCTTGGATGAGAAGCGAAAAGCCTTCAAAGAAAAAAACAAGGTTGCCTCCTGGGAAAAAAAACAACACATTTAGGAGAGAACGAAAAAAACCACCCTTACCTTTTATTGCCAATCAGCATGATCACCATGTGGGGACTGGAATGCTGCCGAGCGTCCTCTAACCAGGCGTACAAATGGTTGAACGTTTCTCGCCTGCCGCGGGGTTAGGAAAAACCAAAGGTCAAAGTTGAAGGCGAGAACGATCAAAGCTGAGAGGGTGGGCTTCGTGGAGGTGTCATGGTTCCCGATTAACGATAACACTTCAAAGAACGTCCAGACATCGTTTATCCTAAAAAGTCTTTAATTGTGTAACAAAGTGTCGGCACAGCATGGAGGATGCCAAGATCTGAATTCCCCTCCTTTGAGCACATAATATTCCAGCCTATTTCCCTCCTCTTATTTGCAGCCATAAATCACGTTCTCCAATTAGATTGAAGGGCAGTTTCCTTCCCTTCTGTGGTTTCTTATCTTAACACACATTCTTTCTCCTCCCCTCCCAGCATCATCTAATTCAGGGCTTTTCAACCTCTTCACCCATTGTACCACTTTTAGGATACGGCAATATCCGAGTACCACCAGTCGCCTAGCAAGGTGTCAAAAACCTTATCTATCTATCTATCTATCTATCTATCTATCTATCTATCTATCTATCTATCTATCTATCTATCTATCTACCTATCTATATCTACCTATCTACCTATCTACCTATCTATCTATCTCTATCTATCTACCTATCATCCATCTATCTATCTATCTATCTATCTATCTATCTATCTATCTATCTATCTATCTATCTATCTATCTATCTATCTACCTATCTATATCTACCTATCTACCTATCTACCTCTATCTATCTATCTATCTATCTATCTATCTATCTATCTATCTATCTATCTATCTATCTCTATCTATCTATCTATCTATCTATCTATCTATCTACCTATCTACCTACCTACCTACCTATCTCTATCTATCTATCTATCTATCTATCTATCTATCTATCTATCTACCTACCTACCTACCTACCTACCTATCATCCATCCATCCATCCATCCATCCATCCAT